GAGGCACATGCTCGAGTAGTGGAGCCATTCACCCTCTCCCAGGTCAGTGTCGTCGGTCGTTAAGTGGCTATGCTTGTAGTGCTTGTTTCGCCGCGATTGTTGAGCTGACCTTGGGAATGAAATTCGTCACAATCCGTGACTCTAGCACTGGCTGTGGGAGTTTGCTTATAACTGATATCTTCTTGTGTTATCTGTTGTGTATCTCGCCGGTGCAACAAAAATGTTCCCATGGCTGTTGAGCTCTTCCAAGAGTGATGTCTGGCAAGAAGCAGATGTTGCTGGCAGCAAAATGCAATTACAAGTACGGAGTACACGCAGAAGCTCTGCAGAGGTGAGTTTTCAAATTGTTTACGCGAGCAGAGTCTTGGCCTGTGGAGTCTCCTTCAAGGCTGAGCAGAGCTTTTGCATGGAGAGGTTTCAGCACTGAAGACAGGGCAAGTATCAGCCTTTGAAGCCAAAAAAGGGCTTCGCGCATTGCTGGCTCAGCACAACGTCAAGCTCTCAACGCAAGATGTCAGTGTGGAGATCCTTCCCGCCGTGCTTGATAGCAAACATGACAGGCTTGATAGCACAATCCAGGCTCCCATACCAACATATTGGTAGTTTCCCAAAATCAAGGGACCCCAAAATACTATATTCCTCAACCTTGGGCACCCCCCGAAAAGGTACCTCTAATGTTGGGAAACACAACCCTAAATAGTAGCTTCCATTTTGTTTGCCATTCTCCGCATATAACCCTAATACATTCCCTTATTCCCAGTCTATACCCCATTATAATAAAGTAGCTTCCATTTTCTTTTCCTTTCTCCCTACTGCCCTGAAAGTGACGGGGTCTTGTGCCAGGAGGCCCCTTCTGATCTCCACGTGCAGCCCAAATGCAAGGCTTGAACCACTGGGTTGCGGTTAAGGAATTGAATTTAAGTCACTAAATTGGAGAAACCATATTAATTACTATGTATACCCATAATGGTAACTTGATTTAAGTTCCTTAACAACAACCCAGTGGACAGATGTCTTCGACAGAGCATGGCAACTAGGACAGCGAAAGCCAACAATCGACATCCCGTGGAAGACGCATGCTTGCATCGTGGCAGGCCCAGTGCATGTCGCTGAGCAAGAAAGGGGAAACGCACCCGCGCCGCGCGCACACGCACTGCACATCTCGCCTTGGTGCAATTGGAGGCTGAACAAAAAACGTTGTATTGTGCTGGAATGGCCTTTACCCGCCACAGATCCCGGATCCATGCCTAAAGTGAGACGGTGCTGCGAAGCAAGGCTTGCTGCTGTGCGTAGCCTTGCGTCTCTTGGCTGTGCCAATCTCCTTTGAAGAAATACCAAACTTGGCAGACCCTAATGCCCTGACTCCCATCAGCGTTTGGCTTAACTGCAGCTGCCAATCCCTCAGCATCGGCACACCAAAATTATTGCCAGATGCCTGAACGCTGTACACTTCCAGCAAGCAAATTGTGGTGTAATGGCAGACTTGATTAGAAGCCCCTTGCCCTTCCCCCCCCCCAGCCAGCAAACCTTTACCAGCCCGCTCACCTGGTATTATGGAAGCTTGGCGCCTGGTGGCTTTATGGATGTAGGCATCGCTTCTTGTAATGGCTCACCTGCTGCTGGTGGCCACTTGCACACATGGTTCGCTGGAGAGACGCCCGGCATTTCGATCATCCACCTCCCTTCACTGTGAGAACTGAGCAGTAGTTATGGTAGTCATGGAGAATGGCGTCATGGAGAGAGCCCTATATGGGAGTTTCCCAACATTAAGGAAACCATTTGGGGTTCCACTAATAGGGACAACAGTCTTTTGGGCTCTATGTTGAGGTCCCCTTGTTTTGGCCCATGAAGAGAGTTATCAATTATCATGTATACCCATTATTGTAACTCAATTTGAGTTCCTTAGCAGCAACGCAGTCATGGAGTCCATGGAGAGAGCCCTAAACCCGAAACCCTACATTCCATGTTGAAACCATGGGCCCTAGTATGGGCCCTTAACCCTGAGATCCCTATATATCTACTATATACCCTATATGTACCCTTAAGGGTCCCTAGAATCCCCCTAAAAGGCCTAAGGGCCCATATTAGGAGCTCATCCTTAAAACCTTAGATACATCCACCAACCCTAAACCCTAAACCCTAAACCCTAAACCCTACCAAGCCTCTCTGAGGACCTACTCCGATCTGCCACGGAGAATGGCCTTGTCGTGCAGGCAGCGCTTGGATGAGGGTTTAGGGTTTAGGGGTTTGGGGTTTAGAGGTGATATAGGGGATACTACCCCCAATAAGGGAGAATCAAATGGACAAGAACAGGGAAATGAAATGGGAACAGGGGTTGAGGGTTTAGGGTGGCTGTTAAGGAACTAAAGTTAAGTTTTCATGATGGGTAGATCTAGTAAATAATAGGGTTTCCCCAATATAGTAACTTAAGTTAAGTGCCCTAACAGCAACCCACTTTTTCATGCTTCTTCTGCGCTTGGAAGCGGAGAGCTTGCCGTCCCTCAGGGTCACAGCGAGCCACCAGCTGCCAGCCCCGTGCCGAACGGCACGGATGGCGGGGAATCGTTGCCCGAGGCCCCATGGTCCAGCGAAGCCACTTTAAGTCAATTTAAATGCTGGGCAGATAGGCATATCATCGCAAGTAAAATGCCTTGGTGTGCAGGAACCTGAGGATGACGACTTGCCTGCCCTGGTTTCCCACGAGCTGGACGACATCCCGAGAGACCAGGCAAGTGGTGCGGGGAAACTGGGACTCTTTCTGGTTCATGAATCTGGAGGAAGGGCCATGAACGCTGTCTGTCATCCAAAACATGGCCTTGGGCGGCCCTTCCGCGACAGAGGATTTGTAACAGAAAGACCGGTCAAGCGACAGTCCCCCGCTTCATGCCCCTGGTACAGCCTAGGCCCGCGACAAGGGGGGCTTGTAACAAGGGGCCGAGATAGACGATTCTCACAGGGGGGGATGCGGGGGCGGGGCCCGCGACAAAAGAGGGTTTCGGCCCGCACCCTTTTTGAGCCTGAACTGAACTTGAACCACAGACTCCCTTTCCGCGCGAATTGTATTGCCAGCTGAACAACAGTTGTGCGAATCAGGCGTACTCGGAACGCCGGGACGACCAGCTGGTGCAGGAGGAACCGTATGCAAGGACTCCGAGTGGTCTGGCAGCCAAGGGATGAATGTCGCACTTCAGTTATTACAATTTTCACAAAGACCTCCTGTGAGTTCAGATCATGGGAAAGTGCGCTTGAAAGGACAGAGCCAGGCAGAAAGGACTGTTTGGAGGACGTGCCTTGCGAGGATGACGAGGCCTTTCCTCTTGAAGCTTCCTGTGCACTAAGCCAACCGGTTCGCCGTAACCGCTTGGCAACAGCGCTCAGCCGAACTTGAGCACTCCAAGAGCATGGAAAAGCCAGCTTTCCAAGCGTGTTATTGTTTGCGCAAGGTCGTGGAAGAAGTGGCGGAGGAGGAGGAGGAGGAATCCGAGTTGGTTTTCGACGATGTGGAGGAGGATGCTGATGAGGAGATGTTGTGCAGAGAAAGCTAGTTGCTCTTGACACCGTGTTTTCTGATACGGCAAGATGATAACAACAGCGGAGGTAAGGAGATAGCAAACGCAGTAAGTACAGGCTTGCTGGCATCGCTAATGGTTGTCCAATTGGAATTAGGCAGGGTGCTTTGCCTCCTGTTTCTCAGGTCTCATGCCATGGCTGCCATGAAAGGTCTGCAAGGTTTTGGGATGCCTATATGTGGCACCTCCTGAGGAAACAAAAGAGCGGTGTCTCGAAATCAGTTGGAGCAGTTGCGTAGGTAGCACAGCGACATCTGACGCCATTTCATCCATTCATTTCTCAATGTATACATGCACCCATCCATTACTCCCATCCATCCATATTATCAACTCTACAATGTGCTTCCGTAGAAAAACCTCATGCAAGCCGTGCGCAACCTCACATCATGCCATCAAGCTCACATCCCATCCCATCCGGTGCCTCACGAAAACCGCGGAAGAACCTCATCAGATCATCTCATTCACATCATCCCACAAATCAAACACCCCTCCATCCTATACACAACCATCACCACAGAAAACTCTTCTCCGAGCAGAATCTAAAGACGCTCCATGCTGAAGCGTCCGGACGCACGGCGAACATTGGGAAGGTTGCCGATCCTGACCAAGATTCTGAGGAGATGCGCTGCGGATACTGGGAGGGTTGACGATTGCGGCCACAATTCCGAGCACGCTCCATGCGCTAGCGTCACGACACGCCGTGAACGCTGAGAGGGTTGTCGAGCACGTTCCTTTAAACATGCGATTTTATTCTGTCATGCGACAAGATACCCACGACAGGGCACACTAAAGGCTGAAAAGACCATAATTGGTACCTACAAGGGGCAGATAGTTTGAAGAAGGGCCAATTTTTTTCCTCATCTACTTGTAGCAGTCTTTGGGGGAGTGGATCGGCTGTAACGACCCTCATATGATCCCAGATAACAGGACATACGTTCACGCCCCCCACTACCGCCAAACCCTAACTCCTGCGACTCAAAAGTGATTCTCTTTTCCACTCCCCCACCCCCTTTTAGAATCCTAAGCCCTAAACCCTGACCGCGATTTTAATCTAAACCCTGAACCCTAAACCCTTCAGTAGCTTCCATCTTTCCCTATTCCCTGGTACCCATCATGATATTTCCATTTTCTTTGCCTGATCCCGACCTAACCCTTTTACATTCCCTTGTTCCCAGCATATGCCCCATCACAAAATAGTAGTTACAATTTTCTTTTCCATTATCCCATGTAATGCCAAATTATTCCCTTATAGCAAAAGTAAGTCAGTGCTGGGCCAGAAACCCTAAACCCTAAACTCTCAGGCAGGCGGAAGAAAACGTATCAAAAAAACACCCAAACCCTCATGCAGACGGAAGAAGGTGTGTTGAACAAAAAATCCTAAACCCGAAACCCTCATGCAGGCAGAAAAAGGGCGTGTTGAAAAAAACACATATAAATCCTAATAACACCATTAGAGTAGTTTCCATTTTTTCCATTATCCCTACATCCCTATATAACCCTTACATATCTATCCAAAACCCTTTACCCTAAACCCTAAGTTTCTGTTTTCTTTTCCATTATCCCTATATCCCTATATAACCCATGGTCTAAACTCCTAGTATCCACCTTAATAACCTCTATAATACTCCCCAATATAATTCCCTATATAACCCCCTTTAAGGAGTTTAGACTATGGCTCATATAACCCCTAAACCCTA